CCGCCCGCGGCTTCGCCCGCGTTGAATTTTGTCTGTCACAGAAAAACTTTATCACGCGCGTCCCTGTTTAAAAAACCGGGATAAAAACTATCCTATGTTCTTTCCCGGGACTCAAACTATCTCTATGCCAAATTTCATCAAAATCGGTTGCGAGGTTTAAGCGGGAAAGCGTAACAGACAGACAGACAGAGTTACTTTCGCATTTATAATATTAGTTGGGATGTTGAGTAATCAATTTTGTGGTAGAAGCCTACTCACATCTTCCTTCATAAAAAAAGGTGGCTGCCATTGTTATGTGTGAGTCACAAAATAAACCCAAACAATGTTTGTACATGGTAACAGATATAAATAAAAATTGGCTCTACGTACAGGTAGGTAAGCCATATGTTGGCACTTGAGCTTATTGTATAGCTTGTAAACAAACTATTGAACAAAAGATGACAAGACCTTTTTTTTGCACCAGCCATATTTAAAAATAGTTATTGACAAAATGAAGGCAACATCACTTCTCAGGTTGGAGATTTTGATGAAAGCAAAACATTGATGCACAAAGTAAGGAGTTTTAGAAGGTGTAGCTTATAAAAATTTCATTATTTACTAGTAAAAGGAAAACTTCTCAATAGGATGTTTTTATAGGTTCTTAGTAGTGATATTATGATCATTGTGTAAGAATGGGATGGAAAATGTTATCAGGTTTTAGTGTTAAATAGACTTGACATTTTGAATGTGATCAAGAATGATAGCAAAAATTAGCACATTACTAAAATTGTAACATCTGTAATCAAGGCCATACTCCTATTACGATATAAACCAGTTCTCCCTCAGCTTTATGAGCTGTATTTATGTTAATTAATACGGTTGTTTTAGGTCGTTATAGAATTGGATAATTTGTACATCTAAGAACAATAATCAACAAAGGAAAATAACACCATGTGGGAAGAACGCGCAAGTTATGAAATCGCGAAAGTAATCGTTGCATCTAGAACGGCAGTAATTAAGGAAATGGGGACGAACGATACGGGGATTTGAAGATAGAAGTATTTATTGCAATTGAAACAACATTATGAGGCTAAATACGAGCAACGTGATTATGGGACGGCAAGAAAAATCCAGTACACAATAATATACGTGGACATGTCATTACGGCGCGGAAAAGTCGACGACCACAAGGTCGCCGCGTGATCTCATTCTTGGCAAATTCCAGGTGTATGCGCGTCACAAACCACATGAAACAAAAAAAAAATAGAACTCACCGTGTTTAGATCCTTTTTTCCTTCCTTTAGGCATGGTGATTTTTGTATAATACAGCTGTCTTAACGATAAGTAAGGTTAAAATCAAATTTATTTTATATTCACTATTTATTTTTAACTATGTTTGTCACTTAATCAAGAAGGAGAAAAGTTCAATATATCGGTTCTTATAGAATGATTTGGGCACCGAATGTAACATAAAACTAAAATTTCAGAAAAGCTTTTTAACATGTTTAACCGTGTAACATGCACACTCAACTTCGTTTTTTTGCGCAATGCGCTGTCACTTTGTTTGAATCGGCGGGAGGGGAGGAACGATTGCACGCCATTTTGTAATCTGGTGTTGCTATATAAAAAATATGGAATATTAACGAAATAACGGTATTTTATCGGTACGGGTTGGTATTCTCGGCCATTTTATACAAATTTTAAAGACAGATTGCACCACAGGGGAAAGTAATTGCACCACAATATTTTATTATGATGAAAATTAAGGATGCATCATCATATTTTTGTAGGTGTTTCATTAAATTGAATAAGATGGCGACAGAACCATTTAGTTTAGTAATGTGGAAAACCATAGGTACTCATTTCATAATAACATAAATTATTGATTAAATAAACGCATAAAACTCTAGTATCAGACTCTCGTATTCGATTCTCAGTGGCGGCAAAATTTTGGTATATTCCACTTTGATCACTTGGCTTTAATCACCCAGGTGATCAAAGTGGACTCCATGCGACAATGAGGATCAGTACTGTTGTAGAAAATTCAATAAAACTAGTATCTACGTTAATCTTTAAGACATAAGAAAGATATATCTTTTTGAATTATCCAAATCGGACCATTACTTACGAAGATATTAATAATAAACATAGGCTGTTTTTGCCGCTAAAAGTCAACGTACGCAAGGCCGCGTGACGTCATTATATCCGAATCGAGCGCAGCCGGCGTACTAATGGGATGGAAAATATTTTTTTCCGGCTAAACTATCAGTTTTAGAAAAAAACTTTTAATAACATTTATTCTTCAAAATAAAGTAACCTATCGACCAGTAATTTTTAAAAATAAAAATTGTGAAAAAAAAGTATTGCTATGTCCAAAAACCACATTTTCATAGGATTCGATGCAATGCGGAGACGCGGTTGGGGTGAGTGTAGTAACTTAATGATTGTTTGTATTGAACATAATAATACTTAATATGATGCTAATACCCAGTTTCTGGCCTGGGGGGGGGGGATAAGTCATACCCAGCTTATAGCCTGGGGGGAGGGGCAAGCCTTACCCAGCTTCTGGCTTATTGTTAGAAGTAAATAAATTAATACTTATACATTTTTATATTTTACTTGGAAGAAGATATGACTCTAACAACACTTATGTACACTTTATTTGAATAAATCGTCAAATATACCACCGCGGAGACCCCAATCGCGTCTCTGCGTACCATTTAATCGTATGAGCGTATGGATTTTTTGCGTTATTTTTCACAATTTCCATTTTTAAAAATTACCTATCGAAAGCTTACTTTATTCTGATGAATAAATGTCATCACAAGTTTTTCTCTAAAACTGATAATTTGGCTAGAAAAAAATATTTTCTATCCACGCAGTACGCCGGCAGCGTTCGGATCGGATATAATGACGTCATCGTCCCCGCGCCGGGCGGTCAGTGAACTTTTTTAGTAATTTGGCCATAACTTCGTCAATTTTTGTCGTAGAACAAAAATTTTTGCACTGTGTTTTAAGGATTTCTTAGCCCTATAAATCTGCATTCACAGCTAAAAATCGAAATGATCCTCATTTGGTGTTCTTTGATCACCCATGGATAAGATGACCTGGGTGATCAAAATGGACACCAGTTTAATTATTATTTTAGTTTCACACTATAATATCCTATTATAAAGTATAAATCACACCTCTGAATACTCACATATTAGTTTTCTGCGGTTTTTAGAAAATATCAAAAATCTTACAAAAATGGGCAGGGCACATAGTACGAGAACTGACGGCCGATGGGGCGGAAAGGTTCTGGAATGGAGGCTGTGTACTTACTGGAAAACGCAGCGTGGGATATCCTGTCCACCCACAAGGTGAATAGATGACATCATAAAGGTAGCAGGGAAGCGCTGGGCCGCTGGACGCAGGCCGCTACCAATCGATCAACATGCAAATCATTAGGGGTGGTCTATGTTTAGTTCAGTGGACGTCCTATGGCTGAAATGATGATGATTACAAAAAATAAAAATGTAACTATTCAGAGGAGGTGTGATTTATTTAATAAGTGATCAAAGTGGCATAGACCGAAAATTTTCTACTGGGTTGGTTGACAGGGCAGGGCTTGATCCTGGCTAATTACTTATGTAGGTGCCACAGTCTTATGTAAGTAAGCCTGTCACCTTTTGCCCAACAATGTTAACATTGTTGTGTTTCGTCAGTTGGAGGTAGCTCAACCATAGAGGGGTGCGATGGTGAGGGACCTCCTCGTGGTGCACCCTGGGCAACGTCCGCGTGGTCTGTTCACGCGGGCGGCTAACCTCTCACCTGCGCGGCAGGTCTCGTCAACTCGGCGGGCCTGTCGGGCAACCCGTAACCCGGGTCACGATGCAGGGGACATCTTAAAAAACCCCCACAGGTGGGGACTGGCGGGGCATTTGCCCGGGACCATTCTTTGGAGGGCCGCTCTCGGTCCTTCTCTGATCAGCAGAACTGACTGAGCAGCGGCATGGAGCAGACCTTAACCCGCTACGGCGGGCCGGGGGTCCTGTTGTACCAGGGCCGCGAGGAGAAAACCTCTATAAAAACAACTGGAGGAGGGGTTCCCTCGAAGCTGGAGAGGCTCACTCTTGAGCGAGGCTCTAGCCTGAGGCAGAACTGCGGACGAATGTCCAACTTGGACAATAACTCGCGGCTGCGTTTCTTTGGGCTCTGGTGGAAACCGTCGGGTTTTAGTGGGTAGGCCCCGCCTTTAGTGGGTAGGTAGGGAGAGTCCCATATAACCCACTGGCCGTCCCCATCGATCAGTGGGTATGCGCAAAGCATTTCTCGACGGCACTCTGGCACTTCGAGGGAAGCTCGCTTCTTTCACGTTTCCTTCTACCTTCAGGCTGATCAACACTTTCCATTAGCTGCATGAAGATGGCAATTAATCAATAATAAAAAAAAACTTAAGTAGTAAGTATTAGAATATGCTTGAGTGGTGGCGGTGAGTGACAAGATTATTAGACTATTTTGTTTAAAACTTTACAGGAGTAATAATTACTCCTATCGACAAATGAATACCTACCTAAGCTCGTTTTCAGGGTTTTCAGAATTATCGGCTCAAAGGAGGAATGAGGTGACAAAGTTTGAAAATCAACATGGGTACAGTAGGCGCGCGAGTTCATGTCCATCCTGAGGAATGCGGTAGTGCTGTTATGCTAATGGCGATATCGATTAAGTAGGTCAACCTTATCTACTTATTCCATATTTTTTGCAACTTATAAGGAAGTAACTATAAGTATAAGTAAATAAGTAAGTAAGGCCCCGATGGATATGAACTCGCGCGCCTACTATACCTAGGTACCTAGTATGGTTTAACGTGTCACTAATTACGAAAACAATACGCGGTAGACTTTCTATAGATTTTGTAGATTCGTGTGGGCGAAGCTACGGGCAAAAGCTATTTTTACCATAATTATTGTACCAAGAGGGCTTTGCAAATTACCTCAGATCTTTAGAAACATGGAAATCAAACATTGGTTCTTAGCGTATCTTTTATTGCAAGAACATTACTTATTTAATTAATAAAATAGGACAACATTTACATTGGTAGGTAGTCAGCTAACCAAAGCACGCACAAGTGTTGACGATAAGGAGAAAAAAATATTAATTTTGTGTGTTGATTGAGTAGAGTATCATATTTCGTGTTCTAAAGCTCATATACTTAAATATGTAGAAACAGCTGCCAAGGAATTTTTAGGACCATAAGCTTTTAAATAAAATAAAAAAACAATCACTATCCCTTTGCTTTCACTACTAGGAACGTTTTATTCAATCTTTGGTTATAAATCAAAATTTATATTTTATGCAATTTTAAATAGCTATCTTCTTTTAAAATAACTTAAAGAATAATTTATAAAATCAACCATGTAAACATAAAACACACGCAGACAATAAACATAATAATTTAGAATTGATGGCGTTAGAGCTATTTTCCATAGAACAAGCCTGATCTTCGTAGGTCAATGTTTTGAGAGTTTTTTTCCACTTAGCTTGAGCATCTTTTGAACCTATCAACTTGCCGTCAATATATTCGGCACACTGCACTGTCACTGTTGGTTGAGCGATGAGGGAATTTATCTGCTTGCTGCCCAGTTTCAAGGTACGGTTTCCCCGCAGTTCCAAAGCTTCCTTCCCGTTCAGGTACCATCGTACTTGTGCATTGTTTTCCGCTCGACAGTACGCCTGAATCTCTTCATCTTCCCCGTACTCGTCAGAGAGACCCTCGACGACAGGTTGTCGGTGCTGACGGCTTACCACCTTCATGTAGCCAGTCTTAGATTCGAACTTGTAGGGCGGTTTGTCGAGCTCCAGGTCGCATCTGTAGAGGCCTGAGGCTTCCTCGGTGAGCTGGCCGAGTCGGAGCCGGCACTCGGTGGGCCCGCAGGAGATCAGATCGATGGTGCCGACGCCGAGGATTGGGAAAGATCGCGTGCTGGGTGTCGACGTGGGTTTGTAGCGGAAGAACTCGGTGGAGCCTTTGAACCAGTTGAGGATTGTGAAGTTGGCGTCGTAGCGGCACTCGATGTCGACGGAGGTTTGGTCGGGGGGCACGTACGGAGGTACGTGGAAGCTGGTGATTTTGAAGGCACGCGCGGTGGTGAGCGTGAGGACGACCAGCGCCGGCGCCAGCATGGTGTCGGGTCGCGCGCTCGCGCCGCACTGCGCCCTAACCCTGCGCAAGCGCTCTTAATTAAACAGTTTATTAAACTCCGACACTTAACCGTCCGACGGATCCCCTGGTATCACAAATGTTGTCGGCTTAATTGATAAACATATTGCTTTCGCTGGGGCATGGAGTTGAATGGGACTCTATTATTTTTTGGGGGAAATAGAAGTGTTATATTAATTGTACCCTCATACACAACTAATTACAAACTACTGTACTTAATAAGATACAAATGTAGGTACGTTATATTGGAACAGGAAAACTGTACTGACTGAGACTGTAAAACTTAATAAGCTCTATCTCATCTGACATGACCAAGTAACGAATAGCTACAAACAGATTGTGATTTGTAGGTATCTGGTAGGAGTATATGTGTGATTTTTTGTTAGCAATAGCAGGATTTAACGAAATCTGCCAAACATCGGACGTTACTTTTGCATTTGCAGATACCTAGCTGTGAGCGTAGTGTGGCATAAACTTCTTCCCAAGCGAAGTCCCGATAGCAGCAGGAGGGTTAAAGGTGCCGGCAGCCGGCGTCGTTACGCACGCTGTGTGTCATCCAATTCGCGAGATTAGCCGGCCGAGTAGATTGTATCCGTTTGACACTGATTTTCGAAGAATAGTTCAAGGTTCAATATATTATGAACACAGAAAAGCATACTATTTCAACTGTCGCCAAAAACGACTCCAGTGTTTTTGAAATTAAACTCGACACGCAAGCAATTAAGAAAATATTATTATCACACGCTTGAGACTAAGGCTCACGGTATTTTTGATGATCTTAATCACACTTTACTCGTACGTTAAATGCGGTTCGGAAAACTATAGGTGATAAAATACCTACTGTGTAACCTCACTTGTAACTTTTGAAGTGACGGACACCTAAAAAGATTTATTAAATTTAATGAATGGTGAATGTTCCGTCATCGTATATTTCAACCGCTGCAACTCCTGTGTAGCCAGAATCTACAGCTTAAACGCTAATAAAAACCCAAGTAGTGAAGGTCAAGTTTGTCCCGGGGGAAAGTTAAACTGTCATTGGACCCGCAACAAAATCGTGTGCCTGTGTGAACCTACCTAAGCTCTCGTAAAAATCATCCAATGATTATACCCAGGGGTCACGGGTCCATCTCACGAGCCCACGCGCTTGTCTCGGAAGCAAGACATTACAATTTTATTAGCGGTAACCGCCTCAAGTGTTATCAGCCTAATTGAATAATGCACTATACTAACGACCCCATACACATCTTAATATTTAAAATAAGTTAGTTCCTCTCCACAACCGTCGGAATTACGAAACGAATCTTAGAAATAGTAAATTGGGCTGCCAGAAGGTGATAGCGTTCATCTTCATTAGTATAAGGTAGAGTTCCTACATCTGAAGCTAAATTATGTACTTATTTTTTTATTTACTTACTTAGACGATGGCTTAGGTTCTAAACACACTTTGTGAGTTAGGTTTTCAGAGAGTTAGTAGGTACCTACCTAGTTCAAAAATTTAGATTCTCGGAAAATTAGTCTAACGAGACGTCAGGAAATTAGGTTAGCGAGAAGATAGGTTTTCATAAAGTTGGGTTTTTGGAAAGTTATGTTTTCAAAAGTTAGGTTAGCGAGAAGTCAGGTTTTCAAAAAGTTGGGCTTTCGGAAAGTTAGATTTACAAAAAGTTGGGTTTTCAAAAAGTTAGGTTAGTGAGAAGTTAGGTTTTCTTTAAGTTGAGTTTTGAGAAGTTAGGTTTACAAAAAAATTATCTAGCGAGAAGTTAGGTTTTCATAAGGTTGGGTTTTCGGAGTTAGGTTTTCATAAAGTTGGGTTTACAATTTGGTATTGAAAAAGTAAGGTTTTCAGAGAGTTGGGTTTTCTGAATGATGGGTATTGTTTTGCGTGTTTGTTTTACTAGTAGCCTATTTTTGATATAATGTAACATAATTTATGTATCGCGTATTTGCATAGAACGAGAATTTATTTTCATATGTTTTCGTAAAATTGAGAAATAAAGGGTTCCCCATACTCATACCTATTCCCTATTTCACATTCAAATTTTTGCAACCATAATAGCCCATGTAAACCTAGCCGAAACTCTCCGATCTCCGAAGTATGACACATTTTCAAGGAACTCGAAAGGTTATTGTAATGAAGTAAATTGTTCTCGTGACGAGCCAACAATGTCATCGAGGAAGGGTAATCTCCTGCCGGATATTACCGCTTGAGGCCGAGGACCTGTCTTCAATGATGCAGTTTGATGAACGACTATTAACTACTATATTGTTATTGGATAAACATGTTGTATCCCTTTATTAATAAACTATAGAATGCCGCAAGTTGCGGTCCTCAACTGGCTAAAACGCCGTTTTTGTCTCTTTAGATCACAGTTTCGTTTACACAGATAGTGACTAAGTATTCACTATGAAATCATAATTAAAAGGCGGAGTTGAACTATCTTACAAGGTGCTAAACTCTAAACTTTGACAAACTTCATACAAAAAGCACCGGTTATTGTTACGTTTAAAATAAGGTGGTGCAAATCAGCCTAAATATGTTTTGTAAATAAATAGTATACCTCATAGTACTACGTGTGCTACGTAGACGTAGTAAGTGCTACGTGTGCTACGTAGACGTAGTAAGTGCTACGTGTGCTACGTAGTCGTAGAGTCTACGAGGAACGTAAGGTAAAGTTGTTCTTTCACAGTATAATCATAAAGATTGTTCTCTCTAAAATTGACCGCGATGTGACTGCATTAGTATACTTACTTGGCTTCTAAACAACTTGCCACTTCTAAATGACTCTAGATTGAAGATAAGATTTCAGTCAAAAAGCGTAAAGTAGCCCCCACAAATACGTTGTAATTAACAAATTATCGTGCGTTATCAGAACGACGTTATTATATGCGGGGTGATAGGATCTGAATACGTGTTACAAAGGCATCTGGCGATAGAGACTCAACTAATTATGTTCTTTAAAGCACATAATTTAGAAAGGTTTCATAGTATAAAATAAATATGTATGTAGTTATAAAACGTCCGGGGTAGTAGAAAGTAGATTTAGTTAAGTACATAATTAAATAAGGCATGTACCTAGGTTGGGTATTATTCAGCGGTATTCCATAAAATAAGTATTTTTGCTGTAGGTATACAGTCTTTGTGCTTTTTGGTTCCATTTTCTGCAATAATTTCACGTAAAAACTAATGTCAAAACCTTAATCCCGTGTGCTTACCATGAGTTTACGTTAGGTGTGCTCGCTAGCGACTGCGTAAAAAAATGACATTTAATTGTATGACATATTGTGCAGCGCCCCTAGCGGCTACTTTCAAGAAACAAAATCTTCATAGAGATTTTTGACGTACTCGCTAGCGAGCACACCTAACGTAAACTCATGGTAGGTACACTGATCACCTAACATTACTCAAGTGCTAAAATATTGATAGTGGTATCTTTTGTTTCTTACGGTTTTTCCCAAAGTTTTACCTACCTTAACATCAAACCAATAGGAATCCCTATCCCCCAGAGTCCGTAGTTGCTATCACAACTCTTAATACCCCCAGGGGCACAATTTCGGTAATTCAATCCAGCGATTTGACATGCCTGTCGGGTCGGGCCCTGACCGTCATCGACCGACAAATTACCCGCCAGATAAATAATCCGACGTAATTCAATTTCCACTTCTTAATTAACATTTCTAATTTTTTGATTGGATTTTTCAAGTGAAATTAATGGCGTTTGACAATTTATTTTGTATATTTTTTGTACCCTATAATTAAGTAGAAATTTTCATTGCTATTATTTTTTTGCTATTTACTCTATGAATTTACATTAAATAAATTAGTAAAATTTTCTTTTGACACTTACATATTTATTATTTTATTGTTTAATATTATGATCCTAATTGTAATTTCATGTTGTGTTCTTGTAAATTAAACTTTATAAACGGAAACTACAACTTAATTGGCTTTAAGATTTAGATTTGGTAGATGAAAAGCTCTAGAAAGCTCTCGAACAAAGCGCCATCTAGTTAGCAGTCTAAACATTAAACTCAGGGCGTGTCTCTACATGAGTAAAGCACAGAAAGAAAATTGCTGGAGCTTTTGTAAGTTCAACGAACTGTTCGTAGAGGGCGTTATTTTGAATTTAATATGTTAGGTGTCAATCATGGTACAGTTTCTATGAATTGTATATTTATTAGCTTAAAACTCATAGTCGTATCATTTCTAGTGTTGTTACAAATATACCTAAATTAATAAAAACAAAAAACCAATTAAAAATGAAGTAGCTGCCTTAGGGTCAAATGGGCGAATTGGTATTCTCAAATTGACCTTACCTATACACACACGAAGTTTGTCTAACCTTCCACAACTGGCCATGAGGCAATATATATCCAGGAAGCACAGAGCTGAATGGGAAAGCTCCAACGGTATGAGCCACTCCAAACTATTCCTAGTTGGAAACACAAGATCATGGGAAAAGCTCATACTCAATGGAAACAGAAGGCAAGCCCGAGTGATCACGGGTGCGCTAACAGGACACTACACTACAAACCACATGCTCCACAAAATGGGCCTAACTACGGATGACAGCTGTCGAGCATGTGGAGAACATGCGGAGTCCATGAAACACCTACTCTGCGAATGTGACGCGCTAGCTAGAACTAGAATGGGTCTCCTGGGGTCGGCTTATCCGACACCAGAAGAATATAGGTCCTTCTCACCCAAGCTCTTGATCCACTATATGGATAGGATCTTTGCGGATGAGGGGGGATAAAGGTATAGGGAAGCACAAAAGATCCCAATGGGTCGACGTGCACTGCGCCCATGCGCGGCCCTAAATAAGATAAGATAAGATAAGATAACCTTCCACAAAACATACTGTAGATCGTAATCTGTTTTCACAAAATTACCCTAAGAGTTTGGTCCATTTTTTTATGCAGAACAAAGCGGGTATTTGACTGCAATAATTCTATGATTTTATATAAATTATGTAAGTTCGTTTGTTTCACATCACACAACCCTAAAATAAGACCATTCGAATTTTAAAACCTTAAGTTCCTAGGTAATAAAAGTCCATCGCCATTTGATGGTCGGACGAAAGATTTCCGAACAAACTGTAAAGTTGGAAGACGCTCGAAGTTAGCAGAGTTCCGCATAGCCGTCAATTTGCGGCGATTTATGCCGCAGCCGCAGCTCTTAACAAGTTCTCGCAAACATGGACGTTTGGCCAAAAGTA